CAGAGCTGCCACCCATCTGATCTGGGATCTGTCACTGTGAGCCCAAGAGCCTGGGACCAGGCCCCCTCAGTGTCCTCCCGGGATCCTGAAGTCTCAAAGGAAGGGTCACTAGAAATGGGGAAGAAGATGGGAGGGGTGGGCACACCAGGCAAAAAGGATCACATGTGGGCAAAGGCCTGGAGGTGGGGAAGGCTTGCGGAGGACTGAGCAGCACCGGCCAGGGAGGATAACAGAGCAGAGGCATGCGGGGGCAGGAAAAGTAGGAAGAAGGTGGTCCCTCTTCTAGCAACAAACCAGAGCTGTGGAAGGCAGGATGCACAGTCGGAGAAAGAGAAATGAGGGAAGGGGAGGCCGAGGGGAGCGGAGCACAGGTGGAAGCGGTCCAAGGGTGAAACTGCAGAGCCAAGAGGCGGGGGCGCAGTGGGGGGCAGGGGGAAGGGCAGGAAAGGAACCAATGGTGGAATTTCAAGAGGGGCCACGGTGTGGTTTAGGGGGTCAACCCAATCTGTTTCCTAAGGGGCTGCAGCTGGCAGACCCAGCAGTCCCCCAGTGTCTGCAGGTGCCACTGGACAGCCTTCAACCAGCCTGCCGTTTACTGGCATAACCCCTAGCTGAGGCATGACTGGGGTCTGCAGTGTCAGGGTGAGCTCCAGGAGAGTGTCACACTCCACGGGCTCAGCACACCCAGATTCACAGGACCCTAAACAGGAGGACACGCTTCCTCTCAGCAGTGCTCACGCCTTCCAAGTCCAGGGACTCCCACTGGAGACATGGTGGGGACTTCTCAAATAAAGAACAGGCCACAGTCTTTTCTGCTCTCAGCTCTGCAGGGGCTCAGTAGTCCTCCCCTTGAGTCAATGAATTAATGAACAACCATGTGAATCCTGATTGCAGAGAAGCTGGGGTGCCAGGCTGGGGCACCCTGAATCCCTCACTTATCAATGCCTTCTTGGAGAGGACCCCTCAGAAATCCTAAGGACACTGAAGGCAGCTCAGTCCAGGCCTCCTGGGCCTGCAAGGAAGTGGGCGAGCCAAGCGCCCAGATGGCTGACATGTGACAGAGGGCTGCCAGTCCCACCTCCTCTTCAGGAGTCCTCCTGGTGGGACACATTGAGAGGCATCCTAGAGGGCTTGGAGTTATGGGAGCGGAGGGAACCCATAAGGCAGAATTTCCCAGGCTTTCCTAACACACACACCCCGACAGTGCTTCATGTGATGGAGATGCTGCATGGTACTAGAGCCTTCAGGCTCCGTAACCACACCTGGGTTCGAACCTCACTGCTCCCACTTTCTAGTGCATTGAGTGTGGCGGCACAGTCTTGAGTGACTGCCTTAACATCTCTAATGTTTTCACTCCAGGTGTGTGCAAAGGGGACACCCGCTCAGAGATGGGAGGTGCTGAAGAGCTGCTCCTGCACAGCACCCGGCACAGCGCCCACCAACCGCACAGCGCAGCCGTGGCTGCCGTCACGCATTCCCTCCGGGGGTGTGGACGGTGCAACAGGACTCATCCTCCATGCTTACATTGATGGGAACTCAAATGAATATCTGCCTAAGAACTGCACTTCTGAAATCACCTCATCGGGCCAAGTCACGGCACCCTGTTCACATCAGAAAGCCAGGATGTCTCTGGTGGCCAAAACCCGGGTTTCCTCCTCCCCTTCGTGTACCCTCATCTTGCCCAGGTGAACCCAGAAGGGAGCCAGGATCCCAGCACCTGCCACAGGTTGGCTGGGCACCTCCCGGGCCCTGATGGCTCAAAGAAAGCCAGAGGGTTGGAGCAAGGAAAACTGAGTTTTGCGTGGGGGAGTAGTAAGACTTTTCTGAACCCCATGACTCAGCAGATGCTGAGGCCGGAAGTGTGGGAGCTGGTCTGGCTGACTGCGGTCAGAGCCCCAAGTACCCGATTCCTCCCTCCCTGTCCTTCAGGCGGCCACGTCCTTCCCCACAGGAAGATTTTCCAAGGTCTCCTCACCCCACGACCTTGAGACTTACCCTTGGGTCTCCCAGAAGCCCCTTTCCCAGCAAATAGCCCCTCATTCCTCTCTCAGAAACTTCCAGGGGTCCCCTGGGATTCCCCACAGCCAGCGTGCACGACCCTTCCCCGTTCTGGCCTCCCAGGTACCTCTTTCACTTGGCCTTCTCCCCGGCCCAGCCAGCAAGCTACCATGTCATCCCCAAAAGGGCCCAGCCCGGCATCCCCTTCCTGCCTCTTTCCAGAGGGCCCTGGGTCTCTCCTGCCTCCAACCTCCAGAGAGGAAGCGCCCACACCCAGCCTTTCACTTACTAGGGGTGTGACCAAGGTAAATGATCAGTCCCCTCTTAGCCTCCATTTCGTCATCTGCAAAATGGTCCAACAATAATGAGCTCCTTGGGTTGCTATCAGAATGAAATGGGAAGCTGCACATGAAGCATTTAGCTGGCTCCAGGCAGGCAGGCATCCCACAACGGCATCCTGCACCCTCCAGTTCAGTGTTCCACGTTTCATCCTCTCACTGTTCCCAGAGGATGCACCTTACACACTCTTCCCTAGCTTCCCTTCTCCCCAAGTACTTCGCTCAAGGCTGGGCAAACTGAATGCTCCAGAAACGCAGTAATATGGCAGTCAACAAAGAGGACCCTTCCAGTGACAGGCTCCGTGTGCCACTCCTCAGAGGTAGCGTAAAGATGGATTTCATCATCATGCACCAAGAAGGCACTGCCACCTCGCTGCCCTGCCCCATGCTCTGGGCCCACAGGGCTCCCCCCATGTGGTCAGGTAACTGCCCACACGCAGCCCCTGCCCTGCCTGGCATAAGCCTCACCCCAGCAGCACTGGTCTGCCACACCCTACCTCCCACGTGCATTTCCTGGGGCCATCTGGTCCCTGGTGCTGATGAATTCCTCCCAGTGACAATGTAATTCACCAGGTACTAGGGCCTGCCAGCTCTTCCGGCAAGGAATTCGGCCCAGAGGCTCTGAAGGGGCTTCCCAGGCGATGGCCGAGTGGCAGCTGGCAGGGCGGGGGCAGGCACACTCTGGGCAGAGGGCGCAGTTCCGAGGGAAGGACCTGCCACAGCTCCATCCTCCTCCTGCTCAGCTTCTGCTGGGAACCTCTGCCGGGAACCTCTGCCTGCCACCCAGATCCAGGCCTCCTCAGGGTGTGGTCCACGCAGTGCCACAGGGAAGAGGACCCTGTAAGGCTACTCATCCCTGGACACAGCCCCAGGGAGGGCCGGGCACAGAGACCAAGAGGAGAGGGGACACTCCAGGCGTCCTTGTCCTCCCTGACCGGGCCTCTCACCAGGCACTTCCAGCCCTCTCTTTGAAAAGCTCCACGGGGAAAGGCCGAGTCAGCACTCTGGCCACAACTCTCTCCCAGGGCCTGGCTTTAAAGTGTGCTCTGAGGCTCTGGGAATGGCCCTCCTCCCCACCCTTCCCCGCTGCCTTCCTCCTGAGGCCCTGCGCAGAGCAGCAGACGAAGGCAGGAGTTCGAGGAGACAGGGGACCCGCCTGCGAGGCTGCCCCGCGGTGGGTTAGGGGGTTACCCAGCCTGGTTTGCGTCTGTCCGACATTCAATGCCAGGTGGGCCCAGAATTGCTCCGGGGGCTCTGGTTGGTGTGAATGTGGGTCACCGAGGCCCCCACCTTTTCCATCTGGCAGATACGTGTCTTGCGCCTACGTCACACCAGACCAACCCAGCAAGCACGGGCCAGGCTGGAGGCCCCAGACTCTCCAGGGGGCTGTCTGGTCCTTGCACAAAACTGCAGACACTGCACGGACTGTCCCCATCCCCCAATTAAACAGCCAGGAGGACCAAGCTGGGCCAGCACGGGGCTGTAATCATCACCCTCCTCGGCGATTCTCGCGTTCACTCCAGACACCCCCGCTCCACTACCCCAGGAAGTGGATCTTTCCTTTTAACTCTCGGATTCTTGGCCAGGGATCTGTCTGTCCCCACACTTCACCGTTACCCCTGAATAAGGGGCAGGAAGAGAAGGGCGCAGTTTCGGGGTTTTCCGATTTTTGTTTTCTTTTCTGTTGTTTGGGTTTTGGTTTTTGCATCTTTAGCAGCTCTTCTGCCGCTCTCTGGAGGGCCACCAGGGTGCCCAGAGCTACACACGCTACGCAGCATCACAGCACGGCAGCGCCCAGCCCGTCGCTGCGTCCCGGTGGCAGAAGCCTCCTCACAGGGCTGCTGAGCTCACGCGGGGCGGATGCCGCATGCCACAGCCTCCTTGAAGACTAAGTGTGGAAAAGAAAATATCAACGCCCACGAAATGCGGGGGCCGGGGGGGACGGTGGGGGGAAGCAAACCCTCACTGCTGGTGGAAAGCCTTCCGAACGCATCAGTCCTGGGACAGAGCCAGGAGCCCGGGCTCTCCGGGCGCGCCCTGCAGGTCCCCCTGCCAAGGACTGGCCGGCGCCGGGTGGTCCGGGAGCGCCGAGCGCGGGGGTCCTCGCGAGCCCACCCGCTTCCTCCGAGGCTGCTGGAGTGCCCTCGGCTCCCCTCCCCCGCCGCCCGCCACATCTGGTTCCACTCAGGTCCTCCCCCACCTCCAGGCGCGCTCCTCCTCCCCTCTCCTCCCCCGCTTTCAGAAAAGCGGAGACGAGTTTTAAAAACCCAGTCACACACACACGCACACGCACACGCACACGCACACACGCTTCTGGAGAAAAGGGGGAAAAAGGAGGGAAAAGTCGAGAGCGGCCCGCGCCCCGGCGCTCCCCCCGCCCGGGTCCCGAAGTTGGCCAAGTTGGCAGCTCCTTACCCGGGAGGGCGGCGTTCCCGGGGGCGCCAGGGCGGCCGAGGTGCAGGCCCCCGAGGAGCAGGAAGCAGTGCAGCAGGTGACGAGGCCAGGACGCGGGGGCTGGCCGGCCGGGCCCCATCCCCGGGCGCGGCGCTCAGCGGACGCGGGAACCGAGGGCGCACGGGCGCGACGCGCAGTGGCAGCCCTGGGGCTCGGCTGTGATGACCGCCCACAAGGGGCTCGCGTCCTCCTCTGGGTCGGGACGAAGTGATGCCTCCCGGGGAGGAGGAGGGAGGAGGCAGGCCGGGCGGAGGGAGGGCGGGGGGAGGAGCGCAGACCCGGGGAGGAGGGTTTGAGGGGCAGAGGGGAAGGGAAGCGGGCAGCGTGGGAGGGGAAGGGGAGGAGGCGCGAGCTGAGCGGGGCTGGGGCCGGGGCAGGGGCGAGAGTGTCGGGAGGGAGAGAAAAGGGTGGCGGGAGAGGAGCACACGCCGAGTCCAGGAGGACCCCAGCGCGCGCCCTTTCTCTTGCTGCCCCGTTTCCCAATCTCTCCCCGCCTCGCCTTCCTCTCTCCTGTCCCGGCCAGGAGCCCCAGACGTTGCGTCACAACTCCCCGGCTGGCGCGGGCGGGGAAGCAACTGCAAAACTTTCCGCAAACTTCACGGCGTGGTGGGACCTGGTCTGCGAGGTCTGGCTGGCCCGGGGCGGGGCGTGCAGCTGACCCAGGTGGCCAGACCCCGGCCGGCAGCATCCGCCCCGCCATCCCGCCTCTTTCTGCCTACGTCTCCAGCAGCCCAGCAGCCCAGCAGCCCAGCATCCATGCCGAGGAGGACCCCTCCCCCGGTCTGGTGGGGAAGGGGCGGAGCTCAGGGCTTGGTCACCAGGGTGAAGATTGGGGGAAGGGGAGGCAGGGCCCTTGTTCCGTGTGCAGAGCACAAACAATTCTTGCACGTCTTCTTTTAGCATTTTCGTGACCCCTGCGTCAATGTCCCCGGCGTAGGAGTGTAGCACTTTTGCTAGCTGGGGCTGCATCCAGAAACTTGGGGAAAATCTGTCCACTGGACGTCCCAGAAGACCGACATCATCACTCCCAACAACTGGACTGCTGGCCGGTTTAGCAAAAGACCAACTGGAAATTTCATGAAAGGGAAGACAATCCACAGTTAACCCAGTGTTACGCAACAGGTCTCTGCAGCACAGAGCAGGGACTGGGGAGTCAGGATGCTGGAGTCAAGCCCTGCCTCTCTGTGGATTACCTGTGCGACCTTGGCAAAGCCTCTTGGGGTCTCAGGACATAGGGCAGGACTGAAACATTGAGACCCTAAGTGAAAAGAAGACACATTTCTCCTACCACAAGTAATCAAATAAAAACACTATGACACTGTAATACGGACCAGGTGCGGTCGCTCACGCCTATAATCCCAGCACTTTGGGAGGCTGAGGAGAGGATAGATTGAGCCCAGGAGTTCAAGACTAGCCTGGGCAACATAGGCAGACCCCATCATCTCATTTTGTTAATATAAATTTTTAAAATAATAAAACTGTTATATAAATTTTATTGTTTCCTGTCTTGTACACCTTGGTATGGTTTTTGAAATAAATTCAATTTTTTTCTTTTTATTCCTCCTATCTTGGGTAAATGCTTCCCAAACTCTGCAATGGGTGCATTGGTCAGAGATGCTCATTCAGCTCTTCCCGTCCTGCCAGGCTGAGGCTCTTAGCAAGCCGTTCGTGGTAACAGAGCCTTGAAGCAACCCCTCACTTAGATCCTGTAGAGGACCCTGGAAAGGGTCCCATTAGCCACCTTTGGCCCCGAAACATGGTTAGCAGCCAGGACAACAAAGCCCCTGCACTCCACGGCTAGCTTCAGCAGGTCTGACAGGGCCAGGCCCCTCCTGGTGGCTGTGGCTCCACTGCCCCTTGGGACACGTTTTCTTGGCCTGGCATGTTCCGGGATCTCAGCACTCTGCACACAACAAGCCATGCCGGGGCTGCCTCAAAGATCCCCCTCTTGGCCTCCCCCCTTGCACAATCCTGTAATCTCCAAAGGATTTGAGGATTTGCTGGCTTCAGCTAACATGCTGTCTCTGAACAGCCAGAACACAGGATACTTCTTCCCCAAAACAGGGCTGGATTCCCCCTCCCCAGCAGCTTGAGTAGGTTTTGGCGTTTCCTGCTGGTCTTCCCCACCCTCGTGCTACTTGTGCAGGACTGAATCCCACTCCCTGACATCACCAGTGCACATGGTGGGGCCAGAGTCCACCACTAGCCAGCACCAGGTCCTGCCATGCCCAGCACACAGGAGGTGTGTTCTCCTCTCTTCACCCACCAGTTCAGCAAGCACTGACTGCTAGCCCTGTGCCAGCCACTAGAGAAACAGAGACGGGCAAACACAGTTGCAGCCCTAGTGGAGTCTCATTTAGTGGGGAACATAAATGTTTTGGCATATTCCAGGCAAAGCACTCAACGGCTGAGGAGCATGAAAGTGTGCTGCACTAGCAGAGACAGAGGTTGGTTCAAGCCTCCAAGGCCCAGTTCTAGTCTCTGTCAAGGGTGAGACTTCTTCCTCCCCTGTGACATGGTTCCACACTGTGTTCCGCTGACTGTTCTGCTGAGGTCTGCAGCCACCAACTGCCTTTGATCTTGGGGCAGGAAGCAGGGCCACATCTGGGAGATTCTCCCTGTGGAGAATTCAGCCCAGTTCCCCACCGTGTAAAGATCCTATCTGTGCAGGTTCAGCAAGGAGTGCTAGGTGTTGTGAGCAGCATGGGGCCTTCAGGGAGCCCCTCACCAGCACCCAGACCTTCATCTACTTCCAGAAGGGCCAGCGTCCTCTGTGCCCACTGCCTCCTCACCACTCCTGTGCCCACAGTTGAACAGCCGTTTATGGAGGGTCAGGACGTGTCAGGCATCAGGCTAGATGCTGGAGGCTTAGTGAGGTCTCTGACTTGTCCAGGGGATTTTTTGCCAAGGTGGTATTCACTATCATGGAACTGAAACTGAAAATTCTCCCTAGACACTGATCAACAACTGTCAGCCAGCAACAGCTTCTGGGGGCGATACGGTTTGGATGTGTGTCCCTGCCCAAATCTCATGTCAAGTGGTAATCCCCAGCTTGGAGGTGGGCCCCGGTGGGAGGTGACTGGATCATGGGGGTAGATTTCTCATGAATGGTTTAGCACCTCTACGCCCAGCTTTTTTTTTTTTTTTTTTTGTATTTTTAGTAGAGATGGGGTTTCACTATGTTAGGCTGATCTTGAACTTCTGACCTCAGGTGATCCATCCACCTCAGCCTCCCAAAGTGCTGGGATTACAGGCGTAAGCCACCAGGCTCCGCCCAGTCTCAGGTATTTCCTTATAGCAATGAGAGCATAATGGTCTAATGGTGGGTGGGGGGGGGATCTGATGATTTAATCAAAACCAGTTTGGGCCAGGTGTGGTGGCTCAGGCCTTGGCTTTGGGAGGCCAAGGTGGAAGGATCACTTGAGGCCAGGAGTTAACAATCAGCCTGGGCAACAGAGTGAGACCAGATCTCTACAAGAAATTTAAAAATTGGCTGGGTGTGGTCATGGTGGTATGCACCTGTAGTCCTAGCTACTTGGGAGGCCAAGACAGAAGTGCTTGTGCCTGGGATTTGAGACTGCAGTGAGCTATAATCACACCACTGGACTCCAGCCTGAGCAACAGCGCGAGATCCTGTCTCTTATCAGTCAATCACTCAGTTTAGTGGAAGGAGTATAGACTTTGGAGCCAGAGAAACCTGAGTTCAAATCCTGGCTTCCCCAATTCACAGCTTTGTGACCTGTAGCAAGTTATTAATACTTTAGCTCCGAGCTCACAGTTCTTACTTGTAAATGGGACAACTTGAGATGTTTCCTACCTTGGCAATTAAATGTTAAGTGTAAAGCAATGGCATGGCCCCTGGCTCAGTGGGGATGTTCAGGGAATGTGGTCCCTTCCCTGTTTCCCGTCTTCCTTTGCCATTTGGACATCAGGGTGTCTCCCTTATTCGTCACCCTTCTCCCTGCCTGTCTCTCCCCTACCCTCCCACCCCAGCCTGCCCACGAGATGGGCACAGATCAGTTTTATCGCGTTGTAACACTGAGTTTTTGCCTGGGAAAACAACACAACATCCCTGCACTTTCTGAACGTCTCCATGTTTAACTGCACAAAAATGGTACCCTAAAGTGTATACTAATCTAATTAGAAGCAGGCTCACTTTGGCTAATAAATGAGTGCCCATAAACAGCTCAGCATGGGGCAGTGGGATGAGTCAGGCCTGGAGATTGGAGGTGCGTGGGAGTTCTGGCTCTGCCATTCACCTGCCACACGTCTTCCAGCAAGTCACTTTCCTTCCCTGCGTCTCGGTGCCCTGTGAGGTGTAAGTTTTGGTGTCATTACTCACCGTGCTTAGGGTTCCTCTGGCATTGCTCTGTTCTCTGGTTCTGCGGCTCAGCAGCCTCTCCAGCCAGAGGGTGCCCAGGGGAGCAGAGCACCCCAGCAGGCCAGGTCTATGACAGAAACTTAGGAAAGGAGAACACGGGACAGGGAGAATGAACTGGATGGCCAGGTAGGGTAGGAGGCTATGAAGAAAGACTTGGCCAGCCCTTGCCTGCAGCAACTAGAAAAGAGGCGGTGACCCCAAAGGGTTCTGTATGACCTGCTCCAAGCCAGGGGAGAGGACTGGCCAAATGTGGGCTGGCCCGAGCAGATCTCACCCTCTCTTCTCCCCAGCTCCTGTATCTCGAATCCCCAGGGCTCCACTCAGACAATCCCTCCAAGTCCACCTGGCTACATCCTCATCTATGGCACCAAGGATCCCAGACAGGACTGGGCTAAAGAGGGAAGGAAGAAGGCAGGCTTAGATTCAGGAAGATCCACATTTCAAGATTTGGTTCAACCTCTCCCAGGGGTAAGAAGCTATTTTTTCCCACACCTACCTCACCGGGGAACTCACCGCTGGTCTGTCTGCTCTTGACTGGTCCACCCCATTGCAGCTCCAGCTGTCTTCACCCCTCATCCAGCCAGTTACAACCTGACAATTCTGCCCGCTTTCTCTAGGTTCTTTCCCTTCTCCCTTCTGTGGAGAACACCTAGAAGGGCTCACCCATCCCAGGAAAGTCCCTGAGTTTACATCCACTCACTTCCAACCCAAGGCCTATATTAGAAAAGGGATCCTTAGGCCAGATGCAGTGGCTCACGCCTATAATCCCGACACTTTGGAAGGCCAAGGTGGAATGATCACTTGAGGCCAGGAGTTGGAGACCAGCCTGAGGAACACAGGTCTCTACAAAAATAAAATAAAATAGCAATCTGATAAATATGAAGATAAGTAACAACAGTCTCCGAAGCAAGTCACTCACAAGGCATTTTGATTCCCTTTAGAAACTAAAAGGGAGCATCTTAACATATCTTCTTGCGATGTTTCCAGAAACTTCCACCAGATGGAAAATGCCTCTATTACTACACAGATCTCAGATAAGGGGGAGCTGGGGACTGAACTCTGACCACCGTTCTTTGCCACAAGCCAATCCAGTGTATAACCTCCATATATTTATTGGTTTACGATTTTGCTATGCTGAAATGTAACCCTATCTTTAAAACTCTTGCTTGTAAGCCAGCATGGAGTTCGGGTCTTATGCGCTAGCTGCCTGTTCTACTTGCTGGGCACCAAGCAATAAATGTGCTTTTTCCTACTGCAAATCTCCGCATCAGTGCCTGGCTCTACTGCGTTGGGCAAGCGGGCCTCCGCTCAGTTTAGTAACAGGATCACCCCGACTCCTCTGCAAGGGCCTCCCCCGACCTGGAACAGCAATGCCTCTGAGCCCGTCCCTGCACTGAGGCCGAGGACAAGCCAGGAGTCCAGGCCTCCTCTGGGCCACAGCTGCGGTTGGGTGGCAGCTCTGTATCTTCACGATGTCATCTGGGATGCTCCCTGACCTTTCCCTCTGTCTCCCCAACTCCGGAAGGACAGGCAGGGTGAGGTTTCCTCTAGTCTCAGTACTTGAGCTTCTAAGCAAGGCCCAGTCTCTGCCAACAGCCTTCACTGATCCTGGCCCAGAGGAAGGCCAGGATGTGCAGATGCAGAGCCTCCCCTGATCCATCCCTTCCAGCCCTGGCCTCTGGCCCAATAGAGCCTGGCCCAGAACAGGAGCCAGGAGGCTTCATCCAGCGGACCCACCACCTCCACCCTGTCCCAGGGGGCTTCATCCAGCGGGCCCACCACCTCCACCCTGTCCCAGGAGGCTGGCCCCACCTCCCACAGCCCCTGGTGGAGCAGCAAGCAGGAGGCGGGGACACCTAGGAGTACTGTAACGTTTCCAGCTGTTCAGTGGGTGGTGACCAGCATTTTCAAAGTCAAGTAAAACACTAAATATCACAGCACATTGCACACACGTGAAGCCCTGCGCTGGAGGATATGTTCTGGGTTGAGATGTTAAGATGTTATCAAACTAATTTGAAAAATGCTGCTTCGGGCCTGGCCCGAGCCCCCCAGGCTCCCCGGCTATCCCAGCCCAGTTCTGGTCTGCTCACCTGACTAAAGAACTGCATCTGATACTGCCCCGA